GTATTTGTACGTTTAGAGGCTGAAAATACGTCAGTATTGTACGTTTTAGTGCCTGTAAAAACGTACGTAAATGTACGTTTTATAGAACCACATTTTACGTAAAATACATACGAATTATCATGAGATCACGTTGCAACAATACCATTACGATGACCATGCTGCCACTAATGGCTACCAAGAATACCGCATCCGTAGTTGCTCTCCCAGTTCCTGCTTGTGGCAAAGCATCATTGATGTTTATTTCACCTAAAAATATCTTTCATAACATAGTTGAGAATCATTTTATATAAAAGTTTTATTTTTTTTAAAACAGGACTTTTGAAAGTCCCGATGTCCTCTACAGAGGACATGGCATAACATATGAATTAAATATCTTTTTTTTTTTTTTCATTTTTCTTATGCTCTAAACAACGTACCCTTACCGTGAAGTGTTACCGCATTTTTGTTCCCGTTGTTACTAGGTGACATGCATGTAAACGTGCCAGAATTTACAGATTTTAACCATGCTAACTAGATTTTAGCAAAAATGTGTGTATAAAACTGTAAAACAATGAAAGACAAACTGAAGACCGTGTGTTTTTTTTTTAAATATTTTTGTTATGAGTCACTTTTAACTCGATCATGACTAATTCCTCTTATTTTATTCAGGATCTTCACAGAACTCACGGAGAATGTGGTCTACAGAGGACATTGAGGCTGTGGAGGAAACTCTGATGGACTGCATCAGGTCAGGAAAGGTTCCTGGGAAAGCTCAGTGTATGGAGTGCATTGAAAGCTCCCCAGCAGCACTTCAACGGAGAAGTTGAGAGGCGGTGAAATTTTATGTTAAGAATCGTATTGATTCCTTAAAGTGATGCATTTTCTCTATTCATCTACTCCAGAGTTTTGTGTACTGTTACAAGCCTAGTATTTATAGAAATCTATAGCAGTATGAATGCCAGGCATGTGGTGTTTTAATTGAGAGTGGATTCCAGTATGCACAGATCATCGTTATTTAGCAAAGACCATGATACCCATGGTGTCAGTGCTCCATGAACATTCCCTGCTTGTCATACAACTTGACTTGCCTTTTCAGATTCCCAAAACTGAAGAAAATTAGATGTGTTAAACAGGTGAGGTAAGGCTTTTTTTACCGTTTACATCCCCAGAAATGGTCTATTCAAATACAGTTGATGGGAATTAGTGAAAGGCAAGATAAAATATAAATACAGACAATTCTCTCTTTTAAACATATCTTTAATGATTATCTAAACTTAATTTTTGTTGTTAATCTTTTAATGGCTTATAATTGTATAAAAATAGATAATCTATAGATAATTCATAATAGTGACACCCAGTGGTGGTTTGTGGTAAGACACAATAGCGACATCCCCACCAGAATAGAAAAACCGGACAGAAATGAAGCTTTCTAAACTTTAGATTTTTTTGGATCAAAAATTCCTCCTGACACCTCTGACTTAAAATTATGGCTTTATTGTATTTAGAAATTGCTGTCCCCACATGTAACCTCAAGAGTCAAAAGTCCCCACAATGTAGCAAAAACAAGTATGTGTGTGTGTGAAAGAGTGTGTGTGTGTGTGTGCACGCGTTTTTGACAAATGAGGACATAAATGTGTATAAAGGGTATGACATAGGTATTACAAGGAGAAGGTGACTTTTCAGGACATTACCCCATGTCCCCACTTTTCAAAACGCATATAAATCACACAGAATGGAGTGTATTGAAAATCTGAAATAGCACAAAGTTTCCTGTGAGGGGTAGGTTTAGGGGTAGGGTTGGTGTAGGGCAATAGCACATACAGTTTGTACAGTAGAAAAACCATTACGCCTATGGGATGTCCCCACTTTTCACAAAAACAAACCTGTGTGTGTGTGTGTGTGTGTGTGTGTGTG